AGTTCTAACCTAAGTGTAATAGTCAGAGTAGGTTTATGGCTGTCAAACTAAAGTTAGATAATATCTAATTTTTAAATTTATAAATATAATGAATAATCTTGGAAAAGAGGTCGTTGTGGGACTTAGTCCTAACTTAGATTAACAAGTTAATGTATTGATCTATTAAATAAACTATGGCTTAGTAGAACCAACAAGGATGAGGAGGTTCTAAAATATGTATATAGTAGAATAGAATAACTACTAAAGATTTGATTTAGGTTTTTTAATGATTAAGATAAGGATGGAGGCTATTGGGCTACTAGGTCCTAACCTAAACTAACAAGCCAAGGTATTAGTCCATTGAATCAGCCGCAACACATTAACACTAACAAACTTGAGATAAAGCTCGAGGGTGGCTAATTATTTTAGGTTAGATTCCAACCGACTAAACTAGGATAGAGGCATGAAGGGTTTAATTCTAAACAAAATTTTTAAGCCGGGGTAGATCTACAGGTGTAAGTAAGGTCATTAATCACACTAGGGAAGGAAGCTATTGGGGGACTTGCTTCTAACCTAGACTAGCAAGCCAAGGTGAAAGTCTACTGAATCATCTACAACACTGTAGAATAAGAAACTAGGAAAGGAGCCTAATAGGCTTTATTCTAACCCGAGTTCACTAATCTTGGGTAAGACTAGAAAGGGGACTAAAGAGGCTCAATCTTGTACTAATTGAAACCCGAACTTAACCCATATAATGTAAATTTATAGGAAAGATCCTAACTGAAGAATGAGAAAATTTTGATTATAGATGGTAATTATGAAGAAGTTTTATTATATTTTAATTTTAAATTTGATTTAACTTCCCCACCTTACAGATTGCCATAATATATCTAGATATTCTAGGGATTGGATAACCTTGCACTGGTTCACTTTAGAGAAGTATGTTAGAGGAACATTTTGTTGTGAGAAAGCCCATTTTTTTTTAAATAGAACCTAATTATAAGAATAAATTTACACACAAATCATGAAAATAAACTTTATTAAAAAAAAACTACTTTTGGAATACATCATAAACAATATATTTTTAAAAATCATATGTTAATTGGAAGCATAAGATGTACTTATTTGGGATCTTAATTAGTAGGACTCACATCTTAGCCTTCACCATAAATGACTGCTCCCATATTGGTTTTAACTTGTCTTCCATTCAACGATGAACTAATATGGGTCATCGAGTGCCAATATCAGATTTCCTACTCGTAAAGTTTTAAAATGGACTATCATGTTATGAGCTTGCTCCATCCATGAATTAGGTAAATTGAGATTTACTTGGGCATGCAACGGTTCCCCTTCAAGTTGTTTGAGTTCTTCCAATCAAAGTTGAGCATTTATTCATACATAATTTTGTTAAAGTAATATCATTTGGTGAGGGATAGGGGTGTAAACGAACCGAACACGAACGAACAAAACTTGTGTTTGTGTTCAGTTCGTTTAAAATTTAGTTTGTTTGAAATAAGCTCGTGTTCGTTTCTTAACGAACGAGCCGAACACGAACCGAACTTACTTCTAAACAGAGAATAACATCAAACCTATAAATTAATGCAAATAGAGTGGACCGATTTATTATCATATACGTATTTTGATAGGCACACAATGCTTTGACTAACTTCTTATGATACTGACATTTTATTATAATCAATGTTTTTTTTTAATTTGAATTTAATTCTTGTTCAAGACCCTAAACAACTTATTAGCACAAGCGTAATACCTGTGCGAGTATTTCCACTTGATATTATGTCATCTAATAAAATTATTGGTCTTATTATTCTTAAATGTGTTACTATAGTCAAATATGATCCATTGAGGAAGTTGAAATTGATACATGATATGATCCTTGAAAAATTGGAGCATGTAATGAGCTTTGACTTCTCACAGTGGGATTGATTCAATTGACTTGGATAAGTTAGCAATCACCACTAATACAAATTTAAGAATTTTAGAAGAGGGAGGGTCAATAGGACCATCGATGTTCATACCCAAAGTCTTAAAATGTACAAAGCTATAAGTGGATGTAATATTTTAATTGACTAATGTATAACTACACCATGAACTTGGGATTAATGATTGCAACATTCAACAGTCGTATAATCACTAATCATTGACAGTTAATGATAGTCCGAAATTTAAAATTTCATTATCTTAAACCTAGATTGATGGGCACCATATAATCTAATATGAACCTCAATCATATTCTTTTATGTCTCGTTCTTAGCAATGGAGTTGTAAGCAGTAGGTGGAAAATTTGCTCATATGAGCTTATCACAATGATATTTCTCAAATAATTCCATCTCTCAAATTGTCGAACTCCCCTTCACTTCAAAAAGTGCCTCATTGGCTCTCACCATGTGATGGTAAATCTTCTTTTCTCCCTAGTGGATAGGAAAATATTCTCATGTTTCATTGCCTTTGTTTATCAATGGAAGTATTAGCAATGTAGTTGTATCTCTTTATAATGTCATGGGTATTGGTGTGCTCCAATAACTCATCTAGAATTTTCAACTATCAAAGACCAATAACATATATAAAAAAAATCTTTTTGGAGGCCCTGAGCCATGGATGCGAGTTAATGCTGACTTGGGATCCTTAACATCTAACATCTTGTGTTGGAAAGTAGGTGATAAAGTTCCTTAAGAACTTGCATGGCTTGTGTCACATCCTTAATTGTGCTTGCAAGTTCTTCAACAATTTATGGGCTCTTGAAAACTGTGTCAGGAATGTCTGCTTAATTTGACAAAGGGGATTATCACTCTTAAGGCAGGCGAGTGAACTACCTCAGATGGACTTTTTCAAAGTGACGAATAAAAAATAACATTTTCATATGAGTAGATATATTGATGCATAAAATGTCTTGATATGGTACAAATGATCCATATTACCATGATACAAATCCAATGATAAGCTTTCAAATTTTGCAAGCATATTAACATTCAAGTTTCTTTTTTGGAGAAAACATTCTTGAATTGAGCATCCTCTTCACCTCTGCATTGTTTTATTTTCTCTAGTAAGAGGTGGAGGCCTCATTTTTTGGATAGTAAGTCTTATCATCATCATTCCCTTCTATTGGAGACAAAAGTAAGGCTCTAAGGAGTTCAATTTGTCTCTTCTTTAGAGCAAAACTAGATGATTAAGTGGGCAATCCCATCTAATAAGCCATCATAAGAAGATGTTCTATCACTACTCTTATCATTCATGCCACCTTGTTCTTAACTTCAACGAGTTGTTGAGTTATGAACCATTTGTTGTCATCTATATGTTTATAGAAACTTGTTTGTCACTATGATCAATGTCTCCTCTATTTTGTGGCATGTCCACACTCATTGTAAAATAAAAGAATGTCTGCTTTATATTTATTCGATAGATGCTTCACATAATCAAGAGTGCTTGAGACAAAGAAAAAGATAAAGGGTTTACAATAGAGGGTTAGAGAAAGTAGAGAGAAATGAGACTGTGCTCATATTATTATTAATATAGTCTCTGTCCTATATCATTTGATGATCATCTTATGACTCCTATTGACATATGTGAAGAAATATCTCAATTAAATACATACAGAAATAGGAATTTAAAAATACATTACGAGACATGATACATGGGCGTATCTTATGACACATGTAGAGCTGTAACGTCTTGTGAAGCTTAAATGTTACTACAATGCACTCAATATTTGAGCAATTAGATGTGCTAGTAATCAAGTTAATGAACAAACATATTATTAAATTAGAAGTGATTCACAAATTAACTTTTTAGGTTAGTGGGTATGACTCAACCTGCAAGGAAATGACCCACTGACTTTCTCCTTGAGTTGGCAGATCTGACTTGATGTGTAAGCTTTTTTGGGTGTGCAAATTCATATATTAATTATCAAACATAATAGCCTGATTTAAAATTTAACATTATACTTTTGAAAACTTAAAAAATAATATATAATATATAGCTTTTATTGACTATACTAACTTTGATAATAAGAGTGTGAATAACAAACTCACTTAGAGCTAAATGAATATTTACTAGAAATAAGATCACACTAGGACCCTTATGAAGATGTCTTACAGATGAATTGGGAGAGATAATTGAGTGTTGATGTACTTCGTTTAGAATACACTTTAGAGGGTTTAGAACAAAAGTAATGACAAGGAAAAAGAAAAGTTAGAATGGAGAGGAAAAAACGGAGGAGGAAAAAGCGGACGAAATACATTATTTGTTGCTTAAATGACAACCACATAAGGTTTAATATTCTTTAAAAATATTACTTTGCACAACTAGTATTTTAAGATTATGTCAATACATAAAGAATATAAATGATCAAAAGTAAATTTGAATAAAATTTGAAAACTATAACTACGACAACAACAACAACAATACCTTTATCCCACTAAGTCGGGTCAGCTACATGAATTTCTGTTCTCCCCTGCGTCCTATTTAGATTCATGTATTTTTTTTTTAATTCTAACAAATTAAGATCACTTTTTTATACAGTATGCCCAAGTATTCCCAGGCCTACCTCTGTGTTTCTTACCATAAGTCGATTCTTAAACATCTACTTTTTTAATCAGATCATCGGATGATCGACGTTTAATGTGATCAAATCATTTAAGATGACTTTCTCTAATTTTATTCGTCACTGGAGTTACACCGACCCTAGCACAAATATATTCATTTCGCATTTTGTCTCTAAGTGTAAATTCACTCATACACATAATCATTCTCATCTCGACAACACTTAATTTAGTTTTATACTTCTCTTTTAAAGGCCAACATTCAACGCCATAGAGCATTGTAGTTCTCATCACCATCTCATAAAATTTTCCTTTCAATTTAAACGGTACTTTACTATCACACAATTGACCCGAATTATTCCTCTACTTCAAAAACTATAAACAGTACTAATAAACAAAATTTAGGGCATGAGATGAAACACAAAACAAGGACTACCAATTATGTGATTGTGCCCCTTGAATGGTAGTTAAAAAATCGGATCCAGATGGATAATCCAAGCAATGCGACCCGCTCGACCTACGCTCAGCCTAGGGTCGCTGGCTTCTGGCCATGGACTTCGAACTGCGTAAAGCTAAAACCCTATCCTCCTTGGCGGCGCCGTTGCCGGACAAATCTCCGAAGGGAAGTATCGATGCTCCCATCGCCCCTTTTCTGGATGTGATCAATCTCCACTCTTCCTTCTTCACAACCAGCTCCTGCTCCGGCCGAATCTCTATCCTCCGCCAACCTGGAGAGAGCCTTAAACCAAACCCTGACGATGATAAAATAAACCCTAGGAGGAGTAAGAAGAAGGCTGGAGGCGGCGGATGGATTTTTGTCTCGCACGAACCTGCGGATCCGGAGGCCGTGGTCGACCTTCTATTCAAATCACCAGCAGCGCGGAGTGCAGTGGAGATGGAAGGAGCCGAAGGCGGTAACTTGGTTTTCAGGTTTGAGCCTCTTATTGTTGCAGTGGAATGTAAGGACGTTATGGCAGCCCAAGAGCTCGTTGCAACTGCAATCGCCTGTGGCTTCAGGGAATCCGGTGAGCTAAAAAGATGGAAACTTACATTTTATTATTTTGTTTTTTTTTTCTCGTGATTTCTGTAAGTTGATCCTTATCTCCTGGCCATCAGCAACTTAGCGTGAATTCTTGTTTTTAAGGATGAATTGAATAATGGGGCTAGTTTGAATGGAAGTGTACTCCGTGTGGAAATGGAGGAGTGCAATTCGTCTTGAGACTAGAATTGTGGTGTGGTTATGGAGGTGAGCAATCAACGGGTATCTTGTTCTGTTGATGATGATGGTTATGTGGATGACCTGGCCCAGTGTTTGTAAAAAAGGTTTACGGTTTGATAAATGAGTTATTATAGGAAAAGCGATGATATTCTTTTTTTTTATACTGTTTTCTAGAGAGAGAGTGGAGTGGGGGGGTGGTTCTTGCTGGAGAGAGAATGGGTGTTGAGTTGGAGAGAGCTGGTTTGAAGAGAGATAGAGGTTTTTGATCAGCTAAAATTAACTTGTAATAGAAAAGAGAAAGACAATCGGTTGCATGAGTACATTAGGAGAGGTAAATAAGGCAGGTATGAGAGAAAAGAGTAGAGATTGTGCTAGGAAAAAACTTGGTGGTTGCAGGTTATGATTTGAACTAGGAAAATGATTTGCGGATTGGAATTGATTGGTAGGCGCCCTGGCAAAAATTTAAGAGAGAGAAAGGAGGAAAATCTAAAGATAGACAGAGGTATATGTACTGCAAAGCATTAGGCAAATTAAAAAAATTATGATCTAAAAATTCTTATTTAACTAAGTTTTTCCTGAGTTTTAAAGACAAATTATTAGGGGTGTGTATTTAGTTGGTTTGTTTGGTCCGGCTTACAACTTAAACCCAAAACAATTTTTCTTGATTGTTAAAAAAACAAACAGACCATTTTTTTTTCAAAACCGAACTAAATATTAACGAACTTTAGTTTGGTTAGTTTAATTTTGTTTTGGATGAACCTAAATATAATAACATTAATAATGTGCCTAATTATCTTTAGTTTAAGTAACATTTTTTTTAATAAAGTGCATTATACGGCTCTAATTTTATTCCATAAAAAAATAGTTTAAGTAACATGGATTAAGAAAAATATTAAATAAGTTATGCTTAAATTTATATTTTTTCTTATGAAATAAATAATATATATGTTGATCTTTTTTTGCATGTTTTTTTACAAACTTTGTTAATTTAATATTTGAAAAATTAGTATAATTTACTGTTTGATTTAATTGGTTTTACATAAGAAAAAATGAAACTAATAAAAAAAACAAAGAAATCTAAAATTATAACGAAATGATGTTTTTACAATGGAACCAAGCTAAACAAATAAATTTTAGTTCAATTTGATTTTTTTTTTATCCAAACAAAACACATACGTACTATTTATAGGCTTCAATATGCCTCGTAGGCTTTAGTTACTTGCCATACTTATGCAACTAATTTCAAAAAGTTCAAAATTCAAGTAATTATGAACAAATAAAATAAAATTCTTAGAATTCTTGAAATTTCCTGAAATAAATAAATTCTCATAATTTATTATTCACCTAATCAAATAAAGATTAGAGAGAGACATCAAATGACTAAGGCTTAGCTTCAAGTGTAGTAGTGATGCCAATGTGATGATGTTATAGAAGCTGGTGGATGATCTCCATCACTTCTCTTGGGGTAGGAAGAACTCATCTTTCAATAACTATGATTATTTTGCTCACTCAAAAGACAAGAAGCAATTCATTAGAATTCTTCTTGTGTTATCAAAGAATATTTTGATGGTGGATGATAAACCATCAAATTGTCCATTTTTGTTTGCCATAAGGGTCCATAATGACTAATTGTAATATTTATTCTCTATTTTAGTTGTTGTTGCGATTGATGGTAACAAAGGAACTAACAAGAAATTTGGGGATGATGTAACTTCATTAGAAGATACAACTACATGAAAATAGAAGGTTGAATGCACCTCAGTAAAGTAGTAATTATCTAACGTTGAAAACAAAGTTGGTGATCTTATTAGCAAGAAAATCAATAACATATTCAAGCAAAAACTATAACTATACCTTCTGTAAAATGCAGTCAATCACCCTTTGATGTTAGTGACCTTTGATCTTCTTGTTGCAATATTATGGAAAATTTTGATTGGAATTTGAATATTTTTGGATGGTGCCGTTTTTGATGAACAATCTAAAAAGACAACTAAATGGCTACTTTTTTGATTTAGTTTTGACACCAACTTACTGCATTGTGGAAGTCGAGATTGATGATTTGCCACAATTCTTCTTGATATTAGAAGTATAGTGTGGTTGTGATAGTGAGAAATCCATAGGAATATTCTTTTTATGTGATCGTAGAGATGTATGATAAGTTGTGATAATGTTTTGAAGTTAGATTACATTTGGGTTTGGGAAATATAATTAAGGTTAGAGTTTTAAAGGAAAAATGGTAGAAAGAATTAGATGGTTTTGTAGGTCTACGGTTTTCTGGAGATAGGGCTACCATTATAAGAAATGGGTCTATTCTTGTTATAGTCTTTTCAGGGGGTGGTAGGAGAAGGTCTTGGGTAGAGAGAGTTGGGATGGTGATAAAATGAAATATTGAGAGGCTGTAGATTGTGAGAGAACATGCATTTGGTTAGAGGGATGAGGTTTTGGATAAAGAGAGATTAGATGGTGATTAATTGAAATGCTGAGAGATTGCAAATACAGAGAAAATATGTATAAATTTAGAGAGAGAGAGAGAGGTGGTTCAATTGAGAGGATTTAAATTGGAGGATCGTATGTTATGATTTAAATTAGGTTGTTAGGATGCAGATATGGTGATCAAAATTGATTGGTCGGTGTACCATGTTGAGATTCTTGATGGAGAGAGAGAGGATGCATTTTAACTAAGAGAGAACTTATGTTTCATGAGAGAGAAAGTTAATTGGAATGGGCGATGAAAGAGATGCACAAAACAAACCATTTATCAAAGTAAGATATTATGATTTCATAAATTCTCTTTTAATTGAATCATTATTGAGTTTAAGGGCCTATTTATAGGTGTTATACAAAGATCCCTTAAACTACATCTACTTGCCAGATGCATCCAACAAACTCATGTTAAAAAAATTAAACAACTCCTAAGTGAAGTTTAATATCTTAATAACAAGTCTTGCACATATGCAAAATTTTTGACTGGTGTCACACAAATTCAAATAATATGTGAATTATCAGCAATATAAGTGACAAATAATGGAATGCTAGATTAGTAAAGACATGTTTAGGGCCTCAAATGTTTGAATGGATTAACTCAAGCAACTAATGGTAGAAGGAAATGAATGTGATGGTATATTTTGAATGGATTAACTCAAAACATTAGCAACATTCTTGTGTACACATCGAAGACCTATGCATGCTTTTTTAAACGAGAGCTGAAGAACCATGCACATTGTCCCGAGCAGCAAGAAATTTGTTCCTAGCGAATATTTTCTTCTGTAGATGCATGAAGCCCTATGCACATTTTCTTTTGTAGTAGGTTTGAAGACCCTCAACTGTGATGCTCTAAATGATATCTATTGACGTATTTTTAAGTACTGTGAGAATGCTCAACACACTATATAGACTCTTCTACACAAGGATGATGTTAGAGGGTTTAGGCCATCAAAATTTTATCAGAATATCATTTGGAAAGAACAAAAATGACTTATTGAATTAAAAGATGTAGTTAAAATGAGCTTGCAAATTTATCGACATGAGGGTATAAATTGAACATTTAAACATGTTGCATATTGCTTTGAAGAATATAATTACCCCCAAATATAACTAGCACAAAACTTACAAATGGCTTGAAAACTCCTTTTTAAGTTATGAGCGAAGTATTTTTACTTCATCCAAAATTTCCTACTCGAAACTTTTAGAATAGGTCGTGAATGAGATGAAATTGAATGAGCTTGAATCTATTGACCTTCCTTGTGGGGTTGCCTCATTAAGGGTCTGCTTGGGGCAGCTACAACTTATTAGGAAGTTGTTGCGGAACAACTGTGCCAGAAAGCTGCTACGCAAAAGCTGTGAGTTTATTTATTTTATGCAGTTGTGGAACAGCTGTTTATGATAAAAAGTCATTTCTACCCTTATATTATTGTATTGTTTATAACAGAATCAGTCATGGTGACATATTTCATACATGTTAACAGAAATCCAATTCTAGCATTACAGGATAAAAACTGAAATCTCACTAAACAGTGAGTAACACAACAATTAAAATTAAAAATAAAACTATTAAAACAACAATTAACTTTGCCATGATGTTGAATTTGAAATGCATTTACCTAACTGAAAAATATATATTAATTGTTTCCGATGAGTGTTGAAATTGCTCCACCCCTCCTCTCATAGACTTATTTTGTGATAAAATATAGAGGGTTATAACTAACACTTCTCTTTAAGTTATCCTAGAGGAGTCTTGAAGTCCATAATTTCTGTGCAGTTGTTCTAGTAGATCAATAAATATGGGTTGTGCATAAGGTATATGTTAAATCTTGTGGGGTGATCTACAAGTAACTGCCCCGTTTATGTACGTGAATGTCATACAAGGAGAGCGAGCAATATATGAATTATAATACTCATACATTAAGCATAATGCAGGTATAATTTTCTTTTCCATCTTTCTCTATCCATATTATTCATTGTTTATACAACTAACATATATAAATAACAAGTGTTGTATAAACAAAAACATTGACAACGAAAATTCCAAAAGCAATGAAAGATTTTTTTGCTGGTAAAGATGTCCAAAAAATAAAATAAAATAAATAAAAATAAAATAAAATTCAACATAGCTTAAATAATGTCCAACAAGTAGCGTAGATAATGTCCGTATATCAATCAAACCTTTGATGTCCAACAAATAAAATAAAAATTAAAGCATCCCGATTGTCATGAAAATATCGTAAATAATTAACCATACAGTCAGGTGTTACCGACAAAAAAAATTTCTTCTCATCGGGTCTTCTAACAACTTCATAGAAAACAAGT